TTGGGAAAGAAAGAGCCCTAAGGATGAGGTGCCACACCAGGACCGGGTAGGAGAGTGAGCAGCAGTGTATAATCCGAACAACTGTCTATATAAGAGGCAAACCGACTCCCCATCCATCGCCACCTCGGTCCATTAGCAGCAGCAAACACCAACATACCAACGACCATAGCAGGACAACGCGATTATGTTCAACGAAGGGACGATCCGACGAAGGGCCATAGCACAACTTAAGGGAGCTCCTCCTAACGGCCTTGAGGCCATAAGCCCTAAGCATGTTGTTCAAAGATAGAAGAAGATGACGAGAAGGGATAGTAAAAACAAACGCCAAGGCACCCCATTTATAGGGGGCAACAAAACGGTCGTCGAGGCTCTGGAAGACTGACCGACGAATGCAATTATTGCATCCTTGAAAAACCGAATCGACGGTAGTACTTTTACCTCAAAGAACGGAAATGATAGAGTATTGAGCATGCGTCTATGAGATATGCCATCTATCACAAAAGATTGCGCCACGATGCGAACCGCCAGTGTACTGTCGCCATGAGGAGTTCGAGGAGTCAATGATCATAAACGTTTCCCATCCCTTCGTTCTGAGAAATGCGGAGACTATCTGTACGCGGTGAAATTAGAGGGCCTGATTTCCCGCCATTAAGCCACCTCGAGGCGGTACCTCGAGACCCCGAGGACATGACGCCACCTTGGGGAGGTATCTCGAGACCCCGAGGATATGAAGCCACAACTTAGTCCTCTCCTTTAGGATCTGTCAAGACCCGACTCGAGGCCGAGATCGGGATAAAGAGGGGAAGCCCCCAAGACACGCGGTTGAGTCTGACAGGGCCGACCTATCCATAGCCTACGCTGAGGCGTCGCGTCAAGCCATCACATCTCCATATTTCGTAAATTAAATATACATGTATTCATAACTGAGTTCCCCTCCTATATAAAGGGGACTCGCCCTACCTTGTAAGGGACTGATGTTACTCTATTTCTCCACAAGTGCAATAATATCTCTCTCTCTCTCTCTCTCTCTCTCTCTCTTCTTACTAAAACTTATTGGCTCTCACTGATACTGAGGATACTTCGATATCCTTCGCCTTCATCTGTGTTCTTCATCTTTTATATGAGTTCTTCATCGTATAACTTGGTTTTGACTATGAAGAGCTTCGTTTGATTATATCTCTAACCGTTATACTACCCTCGATTGTCCCCGATAGCCCGAGCTCGATCTCGAGGTCAACCCCGAAGCCCCCATCGACCAAACCTACATACGGGTAGTAGGCCCTTCGGTCCGATCATTATCTTGTTTTAGATCACGCTCCATCGTTAAAATTCATAATACTAGCATCATCTGCTCTAACAACTAGCTCGAAAATAGATCACGTATTTTTAGAGTCCCATTTTACAAATTTAATTGTCGTTACCATTTTCACGGTAAACACACCCATAGTCAATCAAGCTCTAAAATACAAGACCCATCAATTACCCACACTAGGGTTGAGCCACAACCCTAGTTGATGGGTCTAGCTACTCATAATTAAAGACAAAAACAAAGAAATAGATGAAGAAGAACACATATTAATTAGTTGCTAAATTAAACTTGAAGATTCAATGTTGAAATGAAGCTAAAATTACTCAAAACAGCTAAAAAATTCGAACCCACGAGCGCAGCTTTTAGTACTAACTATCTGCTTAACCTAAAAATGGAAAAGAAGCTATTTATACTAAGCTGATAAATCTGGACAAAAATACCCCTGTGGGGTTAGTGCGGACCGCACAAAATGGTGTGCGGCCGCACTAGGGCTCTTGACATAAAATTCCAGCTCTCTGAACTCAGGCAATGCAGACTGCACAGAATCGAGTGCGGCCGCGGTGGCTTCTAGTGCGGTCCGCATGAAATGGAGCGCGAACCGCATTGGCTTCAATCTCCAAAACCGGCACCTCTCTGATCTTTGGTTCTGCGGACCGCACTAAATCGAGTGCGGCTGCAGTGACTCCAATGCGGACCGCATTAAATCTCATGCGGCCGCATTGCCTGTTGGCCTGGAAATCACCTTCTCTAAATCTCACTTGTGCAGACCGCATAGAATGGTGTACGGCCGCATTGGGCCTGTTTTGCCTGAGCTTTGTTTTGTCTTGGTTCTTGTGCAAGTTTCACTCCTTTTTGAGCTAAACTTTGACATCTTGTCACTTTGTTGATCAAACCTGCAATCAAGCACAACTTGTAAGCCTTTTGAGACTATTTTGTACCAATTTCTAATCAAAACATAAGTAAGAGGGAGTATAAAATGCACCAAAATCCCTAGTTATCACTTTCCCTTAAGATTTGAGTCTTCTGTGTTGATTGTAGTTCGTGTACACGAGGTGACGAGTGCGTGCTCAGACTTATTTGTGGAAAAATTGGCCTTTTAGAGTTCTTAGGTCTTTATATTCACTGTGTAGGTATGTGTTCTTGACATGACTGAGTTTCCTATTTATTTGTTTCACCTCTACATGCTTAATTAGAATTAATTGCTTCATGATTCACTCTTATTGCCTAATTGACTCCTAATTGATTTAATTGAAGAATTTTGCCTCTCCTATTATCATGCTATCTTTTCATAGTTGCTTATCTTATTTGTGAATTTTCATTACCCCTCCTGAAATTGTTTAGTCTTAAGTGAAGCTAAGATCATCTTCCCTTAATTGAATTTTCGAATATCCACAAAATTTGTCCAACCTTAAAAGGAGTTTAGATAATTTATATCTTGTTAACTTGCCTTTATTTGGAACTACTTGACTCGTGTTGATTTCCTTGTTATTGACATGTATATTGTGGGATCGTCGCTATATATTAGTTTTCCCGTTGTTGAATTGTTCCCTTTATGCCAACATTCTTCTCTGTGGTTACTCCTTGTGAGTTGGTTCTGCCGTTTCCTTGCGATTTACATTCCTTAAGTTGATTTACTTGTCTTACCTTGTATTATTGTCATTTGTTGTTGTTTTATGTATTGTGGTGATGTACGAGCTTTCTGTTGTATTGTGACTGTGGTTTCTGTTGGTTGCGCTACATGTTTACTTTGGGACTACGAATCAGTGTACCGGGAGATCCCCCTGTATATTTACTTTTGGGACTATGGGACTGCACTCCGGGAGATCCCCCTACATATACTTTTAGGACTACGGAACTGCACCGGGGAGATCCCTCTGGATAATTACTTTTGGGACTACGGGACTGCACCCGGGAGATCCCCCTGCATATTTACTTTTGGGACTACGGGACTGCACCCGGGAGATCCCCCTGCATATTTACTTTTGGGACTACGGGACTGCACCCGGGAGATTCCCCTGCACATATATTGATTTTGGCTATAGTGCGGGATACCAAGAGATCCTCGGGATACCAAGAGATCCCTGGCACATATATTGAGGATACCAAGAGATCCTCGGGATACCAAGAGATCCCTAGCACATATATTGAGGATACCAAGAGATCCTCGGGATACCAAGAGATCCCCAGCACATATATTAAGGATACCAAGAGATCCTCGGGATACCAAGAGATCCCTGGTACATATATTGAGGATACCAAGAGATCCTCGGGATACTAAGAGATCCCTAGCACACATAATTACGTTTGGGACTACGGGACGATATCTTGGGAGATCCCCTACTAAAATCATTGTGTTCTGAGCTGATGTTTTCATTGATCCTATCCCTGTGTAAACATTATACGTGCTGTCCGTTCCATTCCTTATACTTACTAAGTTGGTGCAAACTATGCTTGGACACTTGCACAAGCATACACGTGGTTAATCACCCTTATCGGGTAGGAGGCTCCCTGAGATTTCTGAGTATAGACGCACCCCTTCTTTATTTTCCTTCCATGTGAGAATGACTTTTTGGGCACGTGAGTTGTCAGTATGATTATGAGGTGTGATGAGGGCACATGATGCCAAGTGTTAGGGTTCAGGTATTGAGACCCGTATTGTATGATTATGAGATGAGGTGTCATAGGGTGACTTATATTCGAAGGATTATCTTTTTGAAAAGATTATATTTGAAAGTATTATTTTGAAAGAAACTCTTTTGAAAAGAACACTTATTTGAAGGAAGTATATTTCAAACCATTTTTATCACTTGAAAAGAGTTTGACTATTTGTGATGCTTGTTGGTTAAGACTTAAGGTGAAAACTATCGGAGTTGTTAAGTATGACTTGTCTTTACTGTATTTGTGATTTCGGATTTGGGTTGTGTTCTCGCTTACCTTTCCGTGTTTTCTTTATGGTGTTTTCCCTGAGTACTTCCTGTTTCCTTCCTTATTTTAATTACTGAATTGTTAGCCGTATCGCGTAGTCTCTATATAAATATCAAGTTCTATATATTAGACCAGTAGGTGTCTTGACTGTTCCTCGTCACTACTCCACCGAGGTTAGTCTTGATACTTACTGGGCACCACTGTGGTGTGCTCATACTAAACTTCTGCACATTTTTTTTGTGTGCAGATCCAGGTATTGTTCGCTAGTAGTTGTGCAGATTCTTGCCGTAGGAGACTCAAGGTAGTCCTGCTGCTGCGTTTGCAGGTTTCGGAGTCACCTTCCTATTTTATATTCACACTGTTGTACTTATTTCCATACGGTTGTGTTTAAAAGTTGTAGTGAAACTCTGTAGAGCTTATGACTTGTACTACCGGATTTTGGGAATTATAAGTTTTGTAGAGATTTTGCTTCAAGACTATTAAATTTCATTTATTATTGTGATATTTCAGCATGAGTTAGGCTTACCTAGTCCCTAAGACTAGGTGCCATCACGATCCCCAAACGGAGCGAAAGTTGGATCGTGACACCGCGCATTCACGCGGGTGATAATACTAGTAAATAAAGATAAAAAAAGAAATTTTACGTTTTGAAACCACAAAAAGAAAAAAAGAAAAAAAAGAAAAAAGAAAGAAAGTGTTACAAGCTGAAAATTGAGTATAAGTAGGTTTCAATTATCCCTTTTAATGCTGTCATGGTCACTTCTGATTGGCTGCTACAACACATCTTGTAATTAGGTCCCAAATCTAAAAGAAAAACTAATATTAGGACAAAGCCAAAGTTGGATTCTTCAAACGCAGAAAAATTCCAATACAGTAGCGGTAGTGAGAAAAGATGGCGAGTGGAGGTGCTGCTGCTGGTGGAGGAAAAGTGTCGTTCAAAGTCACTCTTACTTCCGATCCCAAATTGCCATTCAAAGTGTATGTATTTCTTTTTTGTTTTCTTCATAATTTAATGTATCATTTGTGTTTTCATATGGATTTTCTCCTTTATTGTTGATATATATCAGTTTTAGCGTACCGGAGGCAGCTCCGTTCACCGCTGTTCTCAAATTTGCGGCGGAGGAATTCAAAGTCCCTCCCCAAACAAGCGCCATCATCACTAATGGTACCCTTCTCCCCTCTCCTTTTGCCTTTTGTTATGGTTTTCTGTTTTTTGTTTTTGATTAGTCTAGTCAGTTAGGATACACTGGTTTTGTTTTTGATTAGTCTAGTCAAAGTAAATTGCGTATCTGTTGCCCAAATTGGGATTGAGGCATATTTGATCTATTGATTGATTAAATAGGAATTATAATATTGATTTTATCTAGAACAAATCTTGAGTAACTTCAATAATTATATAACTATGGTGTATTGGGGAAAATCGAGTCCACATTTGGAATTAATTATGTGGCTGACATGTCAAGACACATGGATTAATAGAGGAGTGACAGTTGGCAAAGAGTACACAAAAAGACGCGGGTCTTAATAGGTACGGGCAAAGGTTCAAGAAAACAAAAAGGAACGGTTACTCGGATCTCTTGATAATTTGAAGAGACACCGTTGGAATGAACCAAGACAGCAAAAAGTACAGATACGTAATATCTGCAGTTAATGATGGGGAATGTTATAGAATCTTCACAAAACAGTTACGATTGCCAATCATAACGTCTCATTAATGTCATTAATTGCTCATAATGACTCTATTATGAGAGGAAAGAAACGTAGTACTTAGAAATAGCTATAAAAGGGAGAGAAATAACATTTGTATGGGAACACTGACTATTATTGGAATATAATCATTTACATTGCTTTATATTGCTTACTCAGCTACTTCTCAGTTCAATTTTCCTTTCTTGTTACCTAATTATTTGCTTTTATGATTATCAGTGACCCGAGTTCTTCTAAAATTACGCTTTGATCGAAATACCTATTTTCTGGTTAAACATATGGAAAGAAATTAAAGTTTGTTGTAAGAATGAGACTAAAAGTCTAAGAAGTTGGATATGGGGCATAATTTTACCCCTGGGCCAGGAGCTAGCTGATGAAGAGACGATAGCCCGTTCCCTCAACCGATGTTTGACATTCTAACACCTTTCCATACATCCATGGACAACATAATATGAGTCCAACATCGGGTAAAACAAGATTAGGGATGGATCTAGCTCTAATACCATCTAAATGAATCTTGGCCCTAACTCAACTAAAAAATTAGCTGATAAGATGAGGATTGGTCAAGACCATATAAGGAAACAACTTCCCTTCTCTCAACCAATTGGGAAATTCTAACAAAATGCAAACTTCAACTTTGAACCCAATAGCATGCTTGTGAAGAAATGAGGGGATTAGATGATTGTTTAGAGCATTGGGTTTAGCAGCTTTAACTTTCTCAATTTGGATTTGGGGTATTGGGATTTTAGGTGGTCTTGGATGTACTCTTTTGTCTCATGCATGGTGTGTTTTGTCTTGTGGGTTGACCTTTTTAGTAAATTTTGGGTTGCACTTCTCGGTATTCTTTTAATTAAAGTTATTATCTACAAAAAGAAACTTCTCCTAAGAGTTATATAAATATAGACAAACAAATTAATCAAGGTAAGTGCCACCAGAGGTAACTCTGTATTAAGTTGGTATGATGTAATCCCTATTGAGTTATTTTTCGCACTTATGAATAAAAATGATATGTATTGCTCATCAGTTCCTCATATGCCAAAGTTGATTTTCAGTGGATTCTAAATTCTCGGGTAACATTTGGATCAAAATTCCGAAAGGGAAGTGATTGAAATATTTCCTGTTAAGAAAATTGATGTTTGAGATTGCCAATGTAAATACGGGTTTCCTATCTGGTTCCAAGAAAACAATATCTTTGCTTCCTTTCCGATGTTTTGCTATTCTTCGCTCTTCCCTTTCAATGTACAAAGGGAAGTAAAAGCAACATGCTTCTTATTTATTGCATGTAATTATTAGAAAAGCTTGGACTTTTACTATAAGGTTGTATTACATTTCCTTCTTTATTTTAATTTTTTTTCTTTTGTCTTGTTGCAGATGGAGTGGGAATTAATCCTCAACAAAGTGCAGGTAATGTCACACTTTACATGAATATTTTTTAGTTACCTCATCTTTTTTTTTTGTTGGTTTCTAAATGATTGTTTATTTGTTTTCTGGACGATAAACGATCTTTGGGGATGGAAGTTTTAAAATATATATTCCTCGTGTCTGATAAAAATTTAGTGCATTAGAATCCGAGAGATTTTCGAGGCTTAGTGGCTTGTTTAACAAAAAAATTGGTCTTTTTTGAGCTCCTTACGAGATGCAGAGATCTATAATCAGAATTTCATGGTTTGAACCTCCACTGGGAATTTTCTCAAGTGAGGAAAATCAAATTTAGGATACTCTATACAGCGGTTAAGGGCACTTTCAATAGAGTTATTTGGAAAAATCCAAGTGTTCCAATGAAGACTAGAGATTGGATTACAACAACAAACCCAGTGGGATCCCAGAAGTGGGGTTTGGGGAGGGTAATGTGTACGCAGACCTTACCTCTACCCCGGGGAGGTAGAGAGGCTGTTTCTGAAAGACCCTCGGCTCGAGAGGAAGAATAGAAACAGAGATTGGATTATGCTATCTTATAAGTTTATGGATGAAGTAAGGGGTCGTGTGGTTGGGAAACAAGTTATCCCATGATTAATTATTCCGGGATTAGTTATCCCACCCTTCCATGGGGATAAAAAAAAAATACAATCCCGGGATTAGTTATACCACGATTTTATCCCAACTAAACGTTAGATAAACTCATCTCAATTTTATTCCCGGGATTAATATCCCTTATCCCTCGTACCAAACGAGTCCTAAGAGAGCATGCAAATTTATAACACAAGCTTCTCCTTTTTGTTCTTTCTGCCTATAGAATAGATTAGAAATGCAGAATAAAAAAGCTGAGTGGCGAAAGAGTTGTTGCATGGAGCTCAAGGTACCATTTTTCCATTTAAATATTGAGAAAAGGAAACTTTATTAGTTAGTGGAAGAATAAGATCGATGGAAGTCTCTCTTCATCTTTTCTTTTGGTTTAGAGCAATTTGAGACTGCTAAAGATAGTGTTTGAACTTTTTGGTGGAGAATTGGTTCTTGTCTTTTCATTGTGGAATTGATCCGACTCTTTAGCCACAAACAATTGGCGGGGATTGTGTATTCTTTTACCATGACATGATTAAATATCTTATCCTTCAGTGCTGAACCTCTATTTTCCTAGATTATCTGGTTTTGAATTTATATGAAGTCAAATGTTATTTCAGGTAACGTCTTTCTTAAACATGGATCTGAACTGCGCCTAATTCCTCGCGATAGGGTCGGTGCTTCGTGGATCTCATTCTGAATGTTTAGCTTTATATTTCATCTTACCTAGGAGGTGGGGATATTATTTCTCAATTGACTAGCACATTGCCTTTAGATGTCCTTATCTTTTGATGTTTTAATACTAATTACTAAGTACAGTTGAGTATCAGATTGAAATGAACAATGTTAAAAAAAAATGAATAATGGGTTTTGTTGAGAACTGATATCTAACTTGAGGATTCAATTTGCCATGTCAAAATTCTATTGGGAGTAATCAATAAAATGGTTACTCTGTTGCTTCTATTTCCCCTTCTGTTGCGCATTCTTTTGGTTAAAAGAATTGGTCTAGTTTCTGAGATCTTGGTAGGTTTCTGAATGGACATTTTCAGACTTATCTTCCGCTGCTGTTCGGTTTCTGCATGATTGGTAAAGAAATGATCCCTTGTTTGGGAAGTATAAGGAGAGATGATAGGTTTTCTAATTCTTATTTGGTTGTAGGTTTCGGGTTGTAGACTTTGTTTAGGTTCTAACAGAGGGAAATCATTCCCTTTATTGTATTTATAACCTTTCTTTCTCAGAGATGAATCGAGGGACTAGAAAATGTCACCAGTTTCTTTCCTTCTCCTGCTTCCCCACACAGAATATTTGGTCTAAAATTAAATTCTGAACCACAGATGAAATTTTTATAAAACTAGTTTTGAAGCTAGTTACTATTAATAGTTTTTAAGGTACGTGTAAAAAAGAAACACCACAACTAATATAGACCAGAGGGAGTAGGACAAAAATGTGAAAAGCATGATAGAAGGAGAAACTAGTGCACGCAATTGAAAGAAATGGAAATTTCCTGAGTAAATTAATGTAGTAGTATCTATAAGAACGGGGGTGTAAAAGTGTGGTTGCAATTTTTCTTCCTTTTTTTTTTTTTTTGTTGTTATTTATCAACAAATGTGGAAAAGAATCAATTCCAGGTCAGGTCCTTTCCATTCCCAGAATATCAATCCTCAGAGAATGAATTGAATTTAAAAAAACATTAAATTACAAAAGACTTTTGCATGAAGGCCTCAATTCTGACAAAGTTCACACTTCATCCCCATTCCAATTACCTTTCATCTTTGGACCAGTAGGCCCTTCTTCTCCATAAACTTCATTTGGCAATACTTTCACCAATTTTACAAATGCAGCTTTCAAGTTCCCTTTCAGCAAGCTCTCAATTCTCTTGACTTCATCCTCAAGTGCATAACTTATTTTTGGTCCCCATTCTCTAGTATAATTTAGCCAGGGTGGCTCAATTATTTCAAGATTTTCAGCTGCAACTACTGAATAATTCTCCCCACAGTCTAAAACCAAGTTACTCTTAGCTGTATCATTCCTTATCCCAATATCTCCAGTCCCTTGTAAAACCAGCCCTGGTTTAGGATAAATGGCATGTCCATTTAGTGAAGAATAGGCCACTACTTTGTTACCATTTTGGAATTCCGCTAGTGGTGCATTAAACCATGCCCCTCCACTATGTTCCGACAAGTAAACTTTGTGCAAAACCCCATTGAAATTGCTAATTCTAAGTGTTATATGTTCCCAATCACCGATGTGTTCGCCTATTTTCCCTAATGGTACATCGATTAGGCCAAGTTTAGCTGTTCCAGGTCCATTGAATGGATGGAAGATCCACACAGCTATATCAGTGAATGTTGCCCCTAGCATTGGTTTAATGTGGAGATATACCTCAGAGCTTAGTAAATCTCCTTTAATGGCTTTCTCTTTGTCCTTGGCGTCAATTGGCAAGTCTAGCCAATATGCACCATCATTGGGACCACCTTGTGGAAGATTCGAGCCATTTGGTTCAATGGAACTAGGATTGGATTCTTCACCTTTTTGGTATAGCAAAGCACCATTAGCAAAATACCAATTGACAGAAGAAGGAAGATACTTTTCTTTGGGGTGAAAGTAAACAAGTGGAGAGTATTGTTGAAATAATGCTTGAATTTGGCCAAGGCTAGGCATAGAAGAAAAGGTACCAAACTTGTTATTCTTTAAACAAGCAAGGTATAATGTGTTGGAATCATCATCTTGATCACTTTTGATCCTAGCTAAGAATGTGCCTACACTGACCCCTTGTGCTTTTATGCCCCTTTCTTGAGGTCTTATGCTATGAACATTGATACCATACGCATTGCTCGTTGTACCTTCACCCCAGATCCAACTCTCAACCTCTAATTTATCGGTAAAATTGGATTGAACACATTGGATTTTGTCAAAGGAAGGTTTTTCAGGTGAGGTTGTGACAACATGGCCTAAAGCTTTGTAACCCTCAGGTGGGATTGGCAGCCAAATATAGCCATCATCAGTGCTATTTTTGTTCTTGAGCTTTGAGGACTCACTACTCCAAACAAGTGTATAATCAATTGGATTCTTTAGAGTTTGACCATTATTCTTGTCTTTCCCTACAAGTACCCAACCAAAATGGGGTTGACTGTTTGGTTGGCAATAGCATCCAAACATGGAAAATCCATCTGGAATTGGTGAAGGCTCATAAAATGTTGCTCCAAGATTATCTGGCCCTCCTTTATCAATAGCCCAAACTTTGTTAAATGTCAAAATCTGGCAAACTTCTAGTCCTTCTAAATCAACATATCCACTTCCAAATTCTCCACCTGTCATTAGAGCGTCAAGTTCATTAAACTTATCAAACATGAAAGAAAAAATGAATGAAAGATATGTAAACCAATTAATGTACTGAAATGGGGTGTTCATGGTTCAGTTTTGAATTGATTTTAACGTACATTTTTCTACTCGAGAACTACTACATAAGTAAAAAGAATGTGAAATTCAAACCTGGTGGCCAATTAGGCAATGGAGATGGAAGCTTGAAAATTGTATCGATGGGCAAAGTTTTCCTTTCTTTGTCTAAAGAAGGAATACAATTTCCCATGAGAGAAATGTTTGTGAATAGCAACTTAGAATAGATTGGGAAAATATCATAACAAGTAAATAGATTGGGAAAAAGCATATTCCAAGTTTGAGGTGGTTGAGAATTGTAGGCCAAGGCAATTAATTTACTGGTTCCATCAAGATATTGAGTACAACAAGTTTTCTTATAATTTCGTGCAAGCTAGCATGCTAGATGCTTATCACTATACTATAAGGAATACTGTACGTATTATTCAAGGTTTTTATTAATTTCACATTTAAATCTATTTGACTTCTAATTCCATAATTCAATTTTTGGTTCATGTCTTAGTTTTATCTACAAAGTGCTGAAATTTCCTATAATTTACGTTATTGGTCTCGTCTAACCTTCAATTGTCACATAGTTCATTTTCTCGGTTTGTCGAATTCTTTTTTATTTTTAACGTAACCTAATTAGATATTATCAGTATTTTTAAATATTTTAATGTCAATATAAAAATAATCAGTTTTCTAGATCTGATTCGTCTTTGATTTGGTGTGTTTTTTCGGTTTCTTTGAACACCCCTAAAATAGCAAGACCAATTTCTACGCAACAACATGCAAAGCACATGCATATAAATGACCGACAAAATAACTTTTGTCAAAGTAATGAATGAGTGATGGAAAATTTGCAACGTACGCAAATAAAAAATTACGTACCCCGTGCAATTGGGTCTTTTGGTCTTCAAAAGTTGTTGGTATCGTAACTATTACCTCTGAGCAGTGGCTAAGCCATCTGGTTATGAGGATGATCAGTTAACCACCCTTCATCGAAAAATTGCACTGTATATATAGATAAAATATTACTTTTTAGAAGTATATATCACATATTGAACACCCTTTGTCACTTTTTTCAAATTCGAATACCATTGAGTAAATTTCTAGCTTCGCCACTGCCTCTGAGTATGCATATATAATCTTGAAACGAATCTATTGTATACGGTGAAATCAGAGGAGCCGATCTCATGGCCATTACGACGCTCCATAGATACGCCTGCTAGGGCTCGAGGCGAGGCTCGAGATGTAACCTCGAAGGATTTCCAAACGATCAACTCTGAGGCAGCGCAGATCGATAGCTATGATGGAAAGATGGGGAGTTCCCTAGACACTTGATTAAAGCCGGCAAAGTCTATTAGGCTAGTCCAATCCCGTATCATGGCATTAAATGGCTGTACCATCCCCATATCTTTGTAATAAATGCATTTGTACTATATTGAAATTCCCCCTCATATATAAAGGGGATCCTTGTCATTTTGTAAGGGGGATCTGATACACAAGATACAACACACCACATTAAATACAAGAACATTCTCTGCTCTCTAACTTAAACATATTCTCTTGGTCTCATTATTTGCATTCATTACTTATACTCATTGTGTTCTATTTATTGTTCATCATTTATTGCTCATTATCGATCATAAAGAGCCGCAATCGCAGCTCTCATAACTGTTAATCCTTCATCGACCGTCCTTAGCCGGGCATCCGACCCGATCTCGAGGCCCCTTATACGCAAGCTCGAGGCCTCGATTTCCAGCCATTCAGTTTAATTATCACATTGTCTACAAGCTATTATCTTACTTTCTAATCCTTCCCTTAGCATCTATTGCCTTACAACTAGCATAAAAATAGATCACATATTTTTAGAACCACAAAATCAAATCTAATTGTTATTACCATTTTCAAGCTAAACAGTTTGGCGCCCACCGCGGGGCTAAAAATAATAGTGATTGTTTTCTTGCTGGTTTACTACATAATGCAAGTTATCTTGCACACTTTTTCTTGTCCAAGATCTTTGATTTCAGGTCATAATGTCTAACTCAGTAAACGCACATGAAAACAACAATCTTGAGGACCATGGAGAAAATGGTGTAGCTGTTCCAGGTGTTGGTGTACCACCATAAAACCCTGAGGATGCACAAGAACCAATTCCCGTGGACGCGGTCTCGCGCGACGCTCAACACGTCGAAATAAGCTCCCACACCAACAGGAGCATACACCAAGGAGATCAACAAGAAGCTCAAAAAACCCCGGCTCAAGAAGAACAAGGGGTTAGCCTTCACGTCATTTTCGAGATGTTACAAACGCAACAACTGGCGATTGCTCAGCTGCAAAGCCACCAGAAAACTCCCAGCACAGTAGCACCGGAAACGGCTCCCCAAGCCGAGCAGGTACCAGAAAGATCAAGCAACAATGGGTCGGCAGCCGACCCCACCATCATGAAGATGCTCGAGGACCTCACAAAGAGGATTGAGTCAGGCGAGAAAAAGATAGAAGCCAACGACAAGAAGGTAGAGACCTACAATTCCAGGGTCGATCAAATTCCGGGCTCACCCCCGATCCTGAAGGGTGTAGATTCG